CTTGGTTTGGAGGCTTTAGCCTGTAATTCTGAATTGCAGAAGTCTGGAGTGGCGTGGCGGACGTTTGTTTTAGAAAGTCTAAAAAAAGACCGTTACTAAAATGTCTAGAAAGGCTTGTTCTACGAAGCAGCAGATTCTGTCTCTAACATCTATCCCCAGTCTACAACACAGTCCTTTCAGTAGTTCCAAGAAGAAGTTCCACACCCATTTGCACCACTCAGGTGGCCCCGAGGACACAGGTAAACCTCCAGGTGGCCTCAACGACTCTTTCAAAAGGATGCAAATGACCAGCTGTCTTCAAGAGGTATAAATCCTTCCGTTCCCCACCATCCAGTCAGAGCTGGAGAAACTTCTTGGAGGAGAAGCGAAATATCTTCAAAGAAAAAAACCAGAAAGTCCAGTTGCCTTTAAAAAAAGCACCTTTGGGAGTCATTCAGTCTGTAGATCGCATCATGACTGGCTGTCACCTGTGGGCGTATACCTGTCCGGGATCTCCCTCCCTCCCTCCCTCCCCAAATGATACTGCGCTTCAGTGGTTAGGTGATCTAGACATCGGTATCTGAATATAGATCCTTTTGACGCGCCAATTTTATTGCATTTTTAAAAAAACATAGGCAAAATGTTAACATATAATGCAAATCCATGTATGCCGTACACTCAATCAGTGTTGGCGAAGCTTTTCAGCACCGAGTGCCAGAAACCGGAAGAGCAGTTCCCCGGCGCACATGCGCATGCCGGGAAGCTGAGCTTCTGGTTTCCAGTGAGCACATGCGCACCAGCCCCCTGGTCTTCCAGTTTCTGGTCGTACATGCATGGATGAAGACAGCTTCCCGGCACGCGCATATGCACCGGCCACCTGGTCTTCCGGTTTCTGGCGCTCCTGTGCGCGCAAAGACCACCAGGCACACCAGAACCCGGAAGAGTAATGGGCAACGGCTGCCGTGCCTGGAGAGATTGGCTCTAGGCAAGCCACTTTTGGCATACGTGTCCTAGGTTTGCCATCACGGCACTAAATAAATAACCAAGGGGGTACTGCAGTGGCTGTAACTTCCAAAACAAGGTCATATGTAGCTTTTGGAGGGAATGCGTCGTAACTTTGAATGGCTGTTAAGTGACCATTCGCATCTCGAGAACCACCCATATAGTACAAAACTGGGCTTCTCTATCTTAGCAACTTTAACATGCCTGGACTTCAATTGTTAAGGTTGAGAGACACACTAGTAGAGGCGACACGCTTTAGTAAAGAGAACGCTGCGTAATAAGTAGGATAGCGCAAGTTTTAGGATAGAACTAAGGAGGAATTTTCTGTCAGTCAGAACAGTCAATCAACAGGACGACTTGTCTCCAGGACGTTGTGGATGCTCCAACACTGGAAGTTTTTAAAGAAGAGATTGGACAGCCATTTGTAATGGTGTAGGGTCTCCTGCCTGAGCAGAGGGGGGGTGGACTAGAAGACCTCTAATGTCTCTTCCGGCTCTGTTATTCTGTTACTCTGTTATAAGGTCATGCACACCTTGATTTTGAGACTCGTGGCCTAGTAAAAAAAACCTTGATTATAGGGATTTTCCCATCTCCTGCCCGAACCCGTCACTGTTCTGAAAGCTATGTATATAATGAGGTAAACGGCAGAAAAAGAGCCTCGCGTGGAGATGGGGATTTCGACGTCCCTCTGTGGTCCCTGTCCATTGTTCCTTTGTCTGAAATGGTTTCAGGTTTCCTGTTTCGGCGGGGGGTTGGCCTAGAAGACCTCCAAGGTCCCTTCCAACGGTGATTACGTCATTCTGTTCCGTTTCAGATACCACAGGATAGGTTCGATTCCGATCATTGTCCAGTCTGTGGTTCCTAGTGAGGATGATATAAGCCAGAGGTGTCAAATTGGATTTCTTCGACGGCCAGATCATCATTTTAGGACAGATGCCTCCTGCAGAACTCTGCCAGGCTGAAAACAGGTGGTTTGGGCCTGTTTTGGGCCTTTTTTGGCCCATTTGTGGCCTTTTTTTTGGCCCGTTTGTGGCCTGTTTTTTGGCCTGGTTTGTGGCCTGTTGGCCTGTTTTTGGCCCAGTTTTGGCCCTTTTGGCTTGTTTTTCGGCCCTTTTGGCCCATTTTTGGCCTGTTTTTCGGCCCATTTTCAGCCCGCAGAGTGTTGCAGGAGGCCACGGAGGGTGAAAATGACCCCCCCCGCCACATGCGGCCCATTTTAGCCGCCAGAGGCACCGCGGGCCGGTCCCTTGATAGTTCCAGGATGGTCCCGTGGGCTTTGAGTTTGACACCCCTGACCTAAGCAAATGGGCATTTAGTTCAGGTCAGCGTTAATCTGGGCATCCTAAAGCGCGGAAATGTTTTTTTTCACCACAGTTTCACCTCCAATGTCTCAAACCCCACCTTACAGAGGAGCACCCAGTTACCGCCTCAGAATCCGTCATTAGAAAAATCAGGTTTTCTGCTCATCAGGCACGCTTACGCGGCTGACCTCAAGCAGACTTGGAATAATTGTGCTTGGTTTGACTTCCTAAGGGTTTATTTGTAAAACGATGCATCTGCCTCAGCCAAATAGGAATTGCCTGCTTAGATGCTCAGCCCATCAATTTGAGTCAAACGATTTGTGGTGCGTTTTTTTTTTTTTTGGCAAGAACTTGGCCAGATAAATAAAATGGCTGGAGTTATATCTCATCCTCGGGTCCTTTTCCTAAGATTAAGGCCTTACTTAGTTTTCTTGGCTGTCTCGTTCGGGAACAACAATCCTATATATCTAGGGTAATAGAATTTCTATTTAACAATCTACATCCTCGCTTTTATTCCCTATTAGGGTCTGGGTGATCGATACGTAACCCAATTGATTGCTAAGGTCAAATGTGCCGTGTCTTTATAGCCAGGTTGTATTTATTGTGCTTCTGAGGTTGTTTCGATGGGCCATTAGCCTTTTTTCCCCCCCTATCCATACATACACCAAGGCCCCATAAACCTCCCCGGCCCCGCGATGCATAGATCGGCAGGCACCTTAATTGTTAGGCATTGTATGCCCCTGGTCAGGTGCCAGATCTGAGTCTTGAAAGAGTTAAAATACCTCTCCAGAGGTGAAATTAATCTAATGATCAATTGCAGGGTAGATTGTTTTGCTGTCTTCCCAGGGGGGGCTGTTTGTGGAGATGTTATAGACCAATCAAAATAGAGCTGGAAGGGACCCTGGAGGAGGTCTTCTAGTCCAGCCCCTTGCTCAAACAGGAGATCTGACACCATTTCAGACAAGTGGCTGTCCAATCTCTTCTTCAAAACCTCCAATGATGGAGTAACCACAGTTTCCAGAGGCAAGCAGTTCCACAGGCTAATTCTTCCCACGGTTAGGAAGTTTCTCCTTAATTCCAGGTTGCTTCTCTCCTTGATGAGTTTCCATCCATTTCTTCTTGTCCTGCCCTCTGATGCTTTGGAAAATTAATTGACCCCTTCTTCTTCGTGGCAAGCCCTCAAATATTGGATCAGAGAGGTATGAGGGCATCTCTGGAAAAAATCAGCAAAGGTCAGGTGGAAGAAAGCTCCTGCTATGACCGGGGCATGGCACAAAAGCAACACAGTCAGATAATCAGTAGGAGTCCCTTTATTAGCTCCAACTTTGCCCCCAATGTCCTGGTTACCTTCTGGCTGGAGAAAATTTCTCCCAGAAACAGCCTTTGGCTGCAGAGAATCAAGTCCAAAACGTGGTCAACAAAAACTGTAAGTCCAATCAAGGCAAAATGTGGTAATTACTCCGGCAGGGCAGGAGCAAGAATTCCAGATGTGAAGGAACGGAAGTAATTCATCCCGGTTAGGAGGATGCCAGGAATGCAGATAAGCCACGACAACACAAGATAAACTCACATTTGTTCCCAGTAGACTCTGCACTCAGCATGCATCACTTTTAAACTCTCTTTCCAGCTGTGGCTAATGAAGGGAATCAGGACCCTTTCCTCCCCTGTAAGCCATGCAACTATGTTGCTCCCTTCTCCGTTCCTCCCTGCGTGCCCTAGGATGAAGAGGGGGTGGGCCTGGCTCTTCCTTTGAATTCCCTCTCCCTTGCTCTACCTCTCCCCTGCTCTGCCCAGCCGGCCTTTGCCCTTCCCCAGTTTCCTCCACAGCCAACTGGAGCCACACTCCCAGTCCCGTCAGCTCCCATGAACTTATTTCTTCAGAGGACACCTCAGTAGACTCGGCCCAGTGTTTTAAGTCAAAATTTGAGAATACCTATGAACAAACTTTCTTTACCGTGATGATTTTCAGATATTGGAAAGATCAGGTCCACTTATGAAGGCCCAGTTAAACTAATTTATTGCTAAAACTTACGTGTGGGGATCTTCTCACCTAACTGGAGTTAGATAAAGGCCAAGGGCAATCAATGGGTTTGGATTTAGACCACTTGTGGCTGATCCACCTTTTAACTTCACCCCCAGGTTCTGCCACTCCTCCTCCCTACTACATTATTGCAATAGATGAGATTTTTTTAAGTGGAATCCGGTGCTGAAATATGGAAACCAAGGTGTCTCTCAAAGTGGTGGATTTCGAGATAACTTTGGAGTTCGTGTCCGTAATAGCAGTCAGGGACCTGCTTCAGTTTACTAGGGGCCCAATCCGCAGCCAAGATCTTTCTTTTTTCCTTCCTTCCTTCCTTCCTTCCTTCCTTCCTTCCTTCCTTCCTTCCTTCCTTCCTTCCTTCCTTCCTTCCTCCCCCCTCCCTTTTCTAAACCACCCATCACCCTCAAAGATACATGAGTCAAAAAACGGAATTGATGAATAAAAACAACAACTCCGTGAGCTGGTTATACGCAACCTTGTCTGAAATGGTATAGGGTTTCCTGCCTAAGCTGGGGGCTGGACTAGAAGATCTCCAAGGTCCCTTCCAGCTCTGTTCTATTGTATTCTCTTCTTTCTCTTGTATTGTACTGTACTGTATTCCTATCCTATCCTATCCTATTGTAACATGTTTATTTTGTCGTGTTCTCCCCCCCCTGCCCCCCATTTCTTAATTCCAGTCAATGAAGAAGAACTGAAGAAAAGAATAGCTGAAGAATTGGCCTTGGAACAAGCGAGGCGAGAGGCTGAAGCTCAGAAAAGGTAAACTCCTTTATTTATTTTCAGAGTTCTGTGGGGAAACCTGCGACTTTGGCTACCAGGGTTGAAATAAGGTCGGCGCCCGTAAACTAGGAAAGCAAATGAGTGGAAACAGTTGGGAATTGGGCAGCTTGGGTTCCAACACAGCTGGTGCACTCCACTTTGGAGACCTGTTTGCTCCCGTTTCCTTTGGGAAAATGAGCTTCATTTCAATTTTTTTTTTTTAAGAAAAAAGCTGGCTGGTCTGTGTGAAAATTTTACCTGAGATGAAAAGTTTTTTTAAATAAATCCTGACAGGGCCATCCAGCATTCCTCTCTGTTCTTTGTTTTTGAAGATCGTTCATTACATATAAACAAATTATTTAACAATTTGCTTATTTAGTATCCACGACCATCACTAAGTGTTGTATCTGATGTTTTATGATGAATGTATTTTTACAATGACTATGGTAATGATATATATCTAATGTTGTATGTACACCGATAGCATATGCACCGGAGACACATTAATTGTCTGTCTAATCACACTTGGCCAATAAAGAATTCTGTTCTGTTCTGTTCTACTCTCCATTCCATATTCTTATTGTTTTATTCCTATCCTATCCATCCTTACAGTTTTATTCCTGTTTTATTCCTATCCTATTCTTACTGTTTTATTCATATTCTATTCTATTCTTATTTTTTTATTCCTATTCCATTCCATTCCATTCCATTCCATTCCATTCCATTCCATTCCATTCCATTCCATTCCATTCCATTCCATTCTATTCTATTCTACTTTCTTATTCTCTATTCTATTCTATTCTATTCTATTCTATTCTATTCTATTCTATTCTATTCTTTCTTCAGAATTTTACTGATGTGATGCAACATCAAATTGCGTCGAATCGGTAAAATTCCCTGCGTACTTTTCGAAAGCAGGATGATATTTGTTACCTTACCTTCTGTGCTCACCTGAGAACTAGTGAAGTCCATTTTTTTAACATGCCCGTACTGCTGTGATGTGGATTTCTGAAAGGTTTTTGCCATCTTACAATCAATAAGACGTTGTTATTTGACTTTCATCGAGTCGTGTTTTGCAAGCTCATTATTTTGTGTTTATTAAAGAACCTTGTAATTGACGTTGTGTGTGAATATTGCTTCTCTCTCTCTCTTTTAACACTGCTTTATGATGGAATTAACCACAGAGGTTTAAACAAACTATCCCAGTAGACTTCAAAGGAATGTATACCCAGAAATGTGTTTATAGGATTTCCATCTAAATTTAGCTAATGTCATACCAAATTGAACATAAACACAACCAAAAGCCCTTTACCCGGACTAAAATATGCCTCTTTGAGGAGTAAAACAAATTTATGTGTTATGCTGAAATTACAGCTCTTTGAAATATTATGGCTGGTCTTAATTGATTTTTGGTTCTTATGAGGAAATGTGCTTACTCTTTCTGTGTTCGTGTTAATGTAATTAATGTTAGCAGTTTAAAATGGAACAATTTATTACGCACTTTGATTATTCCTCCTGTACCAATAATATTAAGCGGTGCCTGTTAGTGGTAGCTTTCTTGTTCAGGTTTTATTCTATTTAATGCACACGGCAAACCTCCATTATATGAAACCCCTGAGTTAGGTGGGCTTCTTAATCTTCTCCTTCCTGATATACTGCCAGGATTATCCAGGATTCCTATTCCCTGTGAACTCGCATTCACACCCATCCTCATTCCAGCACTGATGATGTTACCTAGTTGGGTCATGAAACGTCTGCAAGCTCAAAGGGCACCAAGGACTCCATGGAATTCACATCTGCTGGGATCCATTCTCTTTAGGGTAGTGCAGTCCAGAAGTCCCAGAATTCCCCAGCCGGCCATGTTTGAATTCCCCAACCAACTTCAAGAAATTGTGGACTTCAACTTGAAGACTTCAGCTTGAAGACTTGTGGACTTCAACTTGAAGACATGTAGACTTCAACTCCCAGAATTCCCCACCAGCCATGTTTGAATTCTCCAGTCAACTTGAAGACTTGTGGACTTTAACTTGAAGATTTCAGCTTGAAGACTTTTGGACTTCAACTCCCAGAATTCCCCAGCCAGCCATGTTTGAATTCCCCAGTCAACTTGAAGACGTATGGACCAACTTGAAGACATGTGGACTTCAACGTGAAGACTTGTGGACTTCAACTCCCAGAATTCCCCAGCCAGCCATGTTTGAATTCCCCAGTCAACTTGAGGACTTGTGGACTTCAACTTAAAGACTTGTGGACTTCAACTTTCAAGAGTTCCCCAGCCAGCCATGTTTGAATTCCCCAGCCATTTTGAAGACTTGTGAACTCAACTTGAAGACTTGTGGACTTCAATTCCCAGAATTACCCAGTTTGCATGGCTGGCTGGGTAATTCTGGGAGCTGAAGTCTACAAGTCCTCAATATTGCCAAGGTTGGAGTCCCGTGTCTTAAAGAAAGAGCTACAGCATAATACATTAATCACTGGGACAACTTTCCTCCAGAAGTCGTGAATGCCCCAACACTGGACGTTTTTAAGAAGAGATTGGATATCCGTTTGTCTGAAATGGCATGGAGGGTTGGACTAGAAGACCTCCAAGGTCCCTTCCAACTTTCTGTTCTAAAACATAGTTCCTTGTAGTTGGACCGTAATTATTCAGGGCCTTTTGAAGCTCTCTATAAAGAGGCCTGCAATTCAGTAGAGAAATAAATATTTGCGGGAACATCCCTCTTTGTTCAGTATTAGCAGTGCTTTAAAGGATGATATTTGGGTGAAGGAATTGGCATCCTTATAATAACGTTCAGCGAGTAGAGAAATTTACACAGGCTTTCGGGTTTAAACAGCTTGATTCCGAAAGACGGCTTTAAAAAGGGAACCTTTTGTACTGTGAAATAGAGAAAAGGAGGTGTGGGGGGGGGGGAAACCCCCAGACATGGAAAATAGATTTGCAGGGATTATCTCCGTTTTGCACTTTGCAGAGTTTAACCAGAGGTTTTTTTTTCCCTCCCCCCCCCCACCTCTCTCTTTTTTCTTGACAGCCATTTTATAAAGGCTTTGTATGGATCTAATTCTCTTTTCCACAGTAGATTATTCCAGTCGCTCTTCTCTCTTTTTTGAGGGTTGTTTTTTTCTCTGCTTGCTGGGTATGTGCATTTCAGCAAAAGCTTCTCTGGGTGGCATCCATAAAATTTGGAATTATAGTATACATCTGAGTGTGTGTGTGTGAGAGAGAGAGAAAGAGAGAGAGAGAGAGAAAGAGAAAGAGAGAGAGAGAAAGAGTCTGTCTGTCTCTCTCTGTTCCTTTCTGTCTATCTGTCTCTTTCTTTTTCTCTCTCCCCTCTCTTCCTCCTCCCCATTCCCCCCTCTCTTTCTTCTACCTCTCTCTTTCCCTCTTTTTCTCTTCCCCCTCTCCCTCTCTCTGTCTTTCTCAACTATCTCTTTTTTTCTCCCCCCTCTATCTCTCCCTCCAACCCTCCTCTCTCTCTCTCTCTCTTTTCCTCTCTCCCTCCTTCCCTCTCCCTCTCTCTCTCTTTCTCTCCCCCATTCCCTCTCCCTCCCTCTCTCTGTCTCTCTCTTTCTCTCCCCCTTTCCCTTTCCCTCTCCCCCTCTTTCTCCTTCCATAAGCTTTGTAAGACATTCTGTTGGTTCGTGAAACTTGCCTGCTTCTGTGGAAACCGACGGCTTTTTACCTTTTCACTATTGGATGATGGAACACAGCTTTGCATTGAATGAGCACAAGGATTTGGTTCGGTGTTTTGTTCCTTCGGCTTTACAGTAGTACAGCGTGTGTGGATGAGGCTGCAAAATTCAGTAATACCTTTGCCGGGATTTTACAAGGTATATCTGAAAGCGCTACCTGCTCGAGCAGTGTTTTCCAACCTTGGGCGTTTACCTGGGTCATGAAAGGTCTGCAAGAAAACAACCAACCTCAGAGAGCACCAATGATCCCTCACATCTGCAACCAAGCGCAGAGAGCACCAAGGACCCTGCAGTCCTCTTCCTCCTCTTCCTTCTCTCCCCCCCTCCCCCGTCCTTACCTTCTAGCACTGATGATGTTCCCTAGTTGGGTCATGAAATGCCTGCAAGAAAACCACCAAGCGCAGAGAGCACCAAGGACCCCACAGTCCTCCTTCCTCTTCCTCTTCTTCTCCAATTCTACTCCACAAACCCCACTGCCTTCTAGCACTGATAACATTACCTAGTTGGGTCATGAAACATCTGCACTTCCTTTCCTCCTCCCCCCCCTCCCCCCCCCCCTCCTCCTCCTCCTCCTCCTCCTCCTCCTTCTCCTCCTCCTCCTCCTCTTCCTCTTGCTTCTTTTTTTCCTCTTCTTCTCCAATTCCACTCCACAACCCCCCCTTCCTTCAGGCACTGATGATGTTCCCTAGTTGGGTCATGAAATGCCTGCAAGAAAACCACCAAGCGCAGAGAGCACCAAGGACCCCACAGTCATTGTCGTCCTCCTCGTCCTCGTCCTCCTCCTCCTCCTCCTCCTCCTCCTCCTCCTCCTCTCTCCACAAACCCCATTCCCTTTTAGCACTGATGATGTTACCTAATTGGGTCATGAAACATCTGCACTCCTCCTCCTCTCCTCCCCTTCCCCTCCTGCCCCTCCTCCTTCCCTCCTCCTCCTTCTCCTCTTGCTTCTTCTTCTTCTTCTTCTTCTTCTTCTTCTTCTTCTTCTTCTTCTTCTTCTTCTTCTTCTTCTTCTTCTTCTTCTTCTTCTTCTTCTTCTTCTTCTCCTCCTCCTCCTCCTCCTCCTCCTCCTCCTCCTCCTCCTCCTCCTCCTCCTCCAATTCCACTCCACAAACCCCACTGCCTTCTAGCACCGATGACATTACCTAGTTGGGTCATGAAATGCCTGCAAGAAAACCACCAAACGCAGAGAGCACCAAGGACCCCACAGTCCTCCTCCTCCTCCTCCTGTTTCCCCTTCTCCATTTTGTGACAACCCCCCCCCTCAATACTTCTAGCCCTGATGATATTACCTAGTTGGATCATGAAACGTC